GCCATCCCTCCTGCTTCTCTCACCAAATCCGTAGACCAGCGCAAATCACTAATTGACACCCAGAACTGCTGCGCTAACAACGAGCCCTCAGCACTGCATGTCCCCTCTTCTGCTCAAGACTGAAGCCAAGAGCCGCAACCACTTTGGCCAGCCTAAAGCAAGGGCAAACACAGCTGTGCCCACTGGACTTGAAGGAAATGGTGGGTGCCAGGCATGCCTGCCCCGGGGGGGTCCCCTCTTCCCTCCCAGCAGCCCCCATCTTCTCTTCCGACCTGATGGGGTCACTCCATGAAGCAGCTAGAGCACTGGCAGAGGTTAAACCCACCTTCGCATGGCTTCTTCCCTGAACCGGCTTGCTTCCACCGCACAGATCTCGGCTCTTCACGTCCGAGATCTCCCTGAGGAGGACGGCCCGAAGAGCCATGACTTGCATCGCTGCCGCGAAGGGCCGGAGCCCTGAAATACTCCCGGAATATCCCAGCAGCATCCACGCACTTTGGTGACACGCATCGGAGTAAGAACTCACCTAAGATATCACAGCCAAGCGCATCCACCAGCCAGTAAGTTGTAGTTGTCTTACACCGCTCGTTCTTTCTACCCCTACAGCTTGCTGGATTTTTGCACGGTATCAATGGCAAAAGCTGCAAGGCTCAGGGGATGCGAGCGGGCAAGGCTCACGGGGACAATATTTCAGCAACCCGGCGGAGAGGGGCTGGGAAGACAGGAGCTTTCAGGCGCAAGCTCTTCTCCAGCTCTAGAAGGTTTTTCTGTTTTCAGGCTAACTCCTCACCTGCTATGGGCAAAGGAAGGCATTTCGAAGGGCGTAAGGTGAGAAGGCCACCAGATCTCGTGAAAAACAGAAGACCACAGCCTGTGGAACGAGGGAAAGTGGAGCTCCGGGAAAACCTGGTTCCCCAGGACACCATCGTCAAGCCGAATAGGCTGGAAAACACCAAGTCACTCATCAGAAGAGCAGCAAAGACTTCGCCAAAGTCTCACCAGCTGTGACAGCTGCGGACCAGGACGGGCAACCATCGGGCTAACCAAGAACCATTCCCATTGGCTTCCCTCCCGGGGTGTCTTGGCGGTCACTGCAGGGTGACGGCAGCGGCCGGGGCAGCGCTCAGCTCCGTCGCGTTCCTTCCCCTCGCTCCTCAGCGCTAAGAACTGAGCCCGAGGCAATCCTGGAAATTCACTTATCTCAACCTGTAATTGAGAAAGCCATTTAATAAAGTTACTTAAAGCCTGAGCAGCTGGGAGCCGGGCAGCCGCTGATGCATATGCATGCAGCGGGATTTACATTTCGTGGCAGCGCGCAGACAGGATGTCAGGCAAATGAGTTATGAGAAGCGTTGCCTATGCAAATGCATGCGCTGCTGTAACTCCTCGCTGTAATTCTCATCCTTGAAGCCATTTCTGTCATTCTCTTATTTGCATTGGAAATGTAGTAACAAAATCAGCTTACGTTACAGAAATGGGCCCTACTTCTACGCGGACAGGATGGGTTCCCAAATACATCTGTAGCGAGTGGAGTCCTGACCTAACGGCAGACAAAAATAAGATGAATGGAAGTCCTGCCAAGATCCCGTCAGGGCAGGCAGTTTCGGAGTTCTCCAAACCCACCTCTCCTTCATGTGACTTCCCATCCCTGACCGAACAAGGCTCAGTATCAGACACACCACCGTCGATCTGCAGGAACAGAAAAGCCGCTGTTCTCGCCCCACGTTTCGTTTCCACAGTTCTCTGGTTTCAAAGCGGGACCGGGAGCCCAGACCAGGACAGCCGATAGTGGCCGTTTCCTTCCAGACTAGGAAACCCCTTCATTCAGGTTTTGAGAACATCAGTAAAATGGACTTAACTGGTTCATGCTCCGGATTTGCTCTGGTTAGAAAGAGGGTGTGGAACGGCAAGGGGTCGAAAAAGCAAGCCAAAAGCACCCATACCTCACCTGCTCACGTTGGGCCCCAGGTCACCGACACCCTCATCTGCTCCAGCAAAGTCCGGCGTTTCCAGGGGTCTTCCACTCCCCAGCTGAGTACAGCCATCCCCAAGTCACACCAGCCGAGCGAAAGGGTGAAAACCCCTCCTCCCGCAGGCCGGTGTCCAGCTTCCCTCTGCTATTCAGGCACCCGAGAGGCCAACTCAGTCCAAGAGGAGCCAGGGCACAAAGCGCCTCCGTCCTCCAGACGCCTCCGCTCAGGAGAAGGCTCTGCGAGCAAGGTGCTCACCCACTCGCCACGCACCTCGGGCAGAGAAGCGAATCACTCCATGACTTCGCGGGCAAACTGAAGAGTTATCTAATGGCTTTGCGACCTGCTCTTTATAGACACCTTTCGAAACGAACTTTGATGGCAGAGCCCACAGTAGCTAACTTCTTCCCTCTGAGGGTGATGGAGCCCCGGCCCAGCCTGCCCAGGGAGGCTGTGGAGTCTCCTTTTCTGGAGATGTTCCAGACCCGCCTGGATTTTTTTTTCTGCTCTGGGTGACCCTGCTTCGGCAGGGGGTTGGGCTGGGTGACCCACAGAGGGCCCTGCCAACCCCCAACATTCTGTGATTCTGTAACAAAGACACCGTCTGCCATCGGGAACATGGGCTCAGAGTCACACAGGTTGTCACCGCTGTCTGTGTTAAGAGCCATCCCCCTTCCACGCTACGGAGCGGCCTCGGAGAGACACAGGCCACCGTCAACGCTGCTGCTATCAGGCGTTCTCCGATCTGGCTACAGCCAGATTTCAGAAGCATGAAAGAAGGTTATACACCGTCCTGCAGTGTTGAGTATCTGAAGTTGTACCACCAGAAGTCTCAGCAGCTTCAGGAGAGGCTGCCAGGGGTAGCACGCACCGCTCAGATCTGCCCCACAGTACTTTACCACATTCCCCCGTTTCCTCAATTTCAATGTGCAAACCACCTCGTTTTCCTCCTCGTCCGAAGCAGCGCAATTAGCAAGGTTTAACGGCTGCTACAAAACGGTGCCCATGAACAACGCTCTTCTGTAAGCGTGCCCAGCCCGGTGAGATAAAACATCTCTGGGTTACTCTGGCAGACCTAGGCTTCAGAGTACTGGTTACAAAATACCACAGGAGTTTTAGGGCAGCAAACTTCACATCTTCCCCGATGTATGCCCTTACAGTAAAGGTTTTGGGGGAGCCACGAATGCCGCCCACCCCGAGAGTCCCTCGAGGCAGGGGTGTCGGGGCTGGTTCGGGCGACCACTGGATGTCACCACCGCCTCACCCATGGCCGCCAAGCCGTGCGCGGGCTGGAACGCTATCCCACAGACACGCAGCACGGCGGTGTGTCGGAAAGAAACTGGCAGCGACTTGTTTTCACTACACAGAAGTTTATTATGAAAGTTAAACATACAACACAAAGTAGCAAAAGCAATCCTGTAGCTTAAGGCAACTCTTACAGGAGATGAATTCAAGAAAGATGATGCAACTTCAGTTTAAATAGAAATTATGAAAAATATCAAATTGCATCAATAACTTAAAATGCACTTTAAAAAGTCTGCACTAACCAGCAGAGGGTAAGGGCTTGTGATCTTAATGCCAGCATTAAGATACCGAGAGCAGCAGAACGCTAAATGATGGTAGTAGGGAAAGTTCAGTATTTACACAAAGATGGCAACGTTAATCTCCGATAGCGTCATTTCCTGTGTACTTCTGGTGTAAAACCACTGCCTGAAACGTTAGGAAAAACTTTTCAAATAAAACTTCAGGCTATTCCATCAAAAATACACAGGTGGCAGAGAAGATCCAAGGCCAGGGATGCGTGCGTGTGTCCCCTAAATAACTCACTGCAGAAACACTTTAGGAAAATTATTTCTTTGGGGGAAGAAGAGCGAGAGGAATACGTGGCCACAGAGTGAATAAGGTTATCTTTCAGGTGAATCACATTTAAATTGAAGTATCAAAATATTTCTATTTGATGACATTCTCACAGTTTACAGTTCTTGACATTAAGTGATTGTTAAATATTCATATTATCAACAGACAAAGATTCTCCTTCACATTGACATCCGCTTACATTTTTGCAAGACCTCTTTGGCATCGGTTGTTTTGCCATTAACAAGGAGTGTAATCATCTCAACTGCAGAAATTAATAGAGATTCAACCGTTCTAACCATACAGAAATAACTCTCAACACACTGAAGTCAGATCACCTATTGCAAAAAGGTATTTAAGTGACATTTTAATTCATCAGGCTGTACAGGAAGCACCGCATTGTAACAGAGCCAAATGGCATTGCGTTCCCAATCAATTTTCTTCAAATATTGGATGCAATGAAAAATTTCTAATAAGTCCATTCACCATCACCCCAAATAAAGCAAGATAAATCATACAGCTTAACTCCCCCCAAGTCTTACCCTGTCAGAAAATGCAATATATACTGCAGCGTAGTCTTAATTCGCAGAAGGTTGAACAGAAGCGCCCTGTGCACAGGACGAGATTTTCTGCACACAACCTCACCTCGACTTTTCACCATTCAGCACAACTTTACAAAAAGCCTAAGATATAAAATATACTTAAAGCAGCTATCTTAAACATGATTTAATACATATCACCTTGGCAGCTAATACATATCACCTTGGCAGCTGATCGCTTTCGTTCCCAGTTGAACACGCCATCGAATCCGATTGTAGAGTTGCAGTATCCCTTTGAAGAACTATTTAAAAAAATCCCTGAATAAAACAGAAGCCAGCCTGCGACTTCCCATGAGGAGCTTCAGTAAAGTACTATATACAGGGGTACAATAACCACCCAAACTCACGTGGTACGGAGTAAAACCTAAGGCGGATGGATACTGGGGCAGAATGCATTAATGTGTGAAAATACATTTTTTAAGATTTTTATCGTTTAAAAAGTGGAACCAATGAATTGTTAGCAGTTAAAAGAATACTGCAACCGTAACGTTTACAAACTCACGAAGTTTGAAAACTGATTCCAACAGCTCCGATTCACTGGGTTCAGCTTGGAAATAATGCAAAAGAATGTCAGCAGTTTGAAGAAGGTCTTGCAAATTTAGAAAAAAGAAAACTGAAAGGAAGATAAGAACGCGTATCTAAAATAAAGCAGGAGCACAATAAGGACAATCAAAATTCCAAAAGCCCATATTAAAAAAATTAAGCTTGGAATGCATTAACTTCCAGCAGTTTATAAAAAAAAAAAAACAACACCAAACCAAAAAACACCACCCCAAAAAAGACATTTTAAATCTGTAATATCTTGACCTATTTTTAAGTGACAATTTTTATTACAGTTGAGAAAACATGGTTTCATAGCTGCATAAGTTTCCATTTCACTAAAATAGTGCCAACAAAAATAAGTTTGCATAGAAAAAACAAAATTTCAAATTGCCACTGGCTACATGTGTAACGTGGGAAATGCAGGTATTGTAACATAAACATAGTGCAAACCATGGCAGCCGACGGTGCCGCGGGCTGCAGCAGGTCAGGAAACAGACCGTCGTATACCCAGTTCTCACAGTTTCTGGTCTTCCATTGAATCCTTTGCCAAGTAGAAGCAATGCATGTGAGCAGGCCCGTGGAACGCCTGCCGCCGGGGGTTAACGTAGTTTGAGATCGTCGCCACTTCCCAGGTTAGATCCAGGACTAGGGTCTTGCTGTCTTCTTGCCTGCATTAACAAACAGGTACTTAGGATCAAAAAAGGATTTGGAAGTCATCAGTTTAGTTCATTTCATTAACACATTGACATGACTAAGACCATAACCAATTCTAAGGCAGAAACTTTAGGTTTCAAGCAGTAACCAAAGCATTTACTTTTAACATCAAAATCATTCTTTCCCCCTCAACTCCATAATCCCCCCCGATCTATGAGGAGTCGTAGAGGAGGGCTGCGGACAGCCAGGCGCTGTCCGCACACATTTTCCTTCCTGTGAAATTCCCTTCCGTTAACCTTTCCTGTAAATATTTTCAGGATCAAGACTATGGAGAGAGAGGCTGCAATGCACGACAGCAAAGCACATCACATCATTTCCAAATATATCTCCCCTCGGTATTTTTATGCGGGGAACATTAACTCAGCTTTTCCTGGAATAAAGAGACTTCTAACATGATAACACAACAGCACAATTTAATCTCTAGGCTGAAACACATTTCAACACTTCTTCAAAGCTGGGGTTTTACTGCAGTGCACATTGCTTTTCATTTGTGTACCTGTAAAGTTAGCAACAATACAAACCTGAGAGAACTCTGGTACTTATGACTGCGCCCCTGCATTAAAAAAAAAACCACAGGTTTTCTTTTAAATAAGTGATTCTGTTAATCAGTTTGAGCTGACGGCATTTTAAAGCAGGAATTGAGGGCGGTCAGCTGCAGTACCATCAGTCACAGTGAAGGACACCGCTGCCTGCTGCCGCTGCACCGCTGCGGGCCACCTTCAAGGAGCGCACACAAATGCTGCGGGTGAATACTTAAAAGACATCGATATACTTCAAAATTTAAAGCAACATGTCAATTCTGGGAACATCTCCTATATGCTAGCTGCTTTTTAAGACATTTTAGTATCAATACTTGTATTTGACATCTACAGCACGAACTGCCTGCTGCTGCCACGCGACCCGCGCAGCAACCGGGGCCACCTTCCCCGCTGGCGGCAGGCTGCGTGTTCCTCTGCATCGCTCCCTCCATCCGTCCCACCAGCTGCAACAACCCGCCCCCGGCAGTGCTGCAAAAAACGCTCCCCAAAAACGCAAAGCACGTGACCGCTTCCCTCCCAGGAAAGGCTCCTCATGCTCCGGGGGGAGCAGCCCGCACGGCCCCCTCCTGCTCCGCTCCCGTGCCCAGCCCCGAACCCTCGGGCACGTGCTGCGAACACCACCTTCTCCAGTTCAGACTTTCCTTTCTCTCTCCACTTCTTCCTCCCTTATCCACCGCTCTCCTTGTCTGATTTTACGCTCCCAGGGCACTTGGTTAGCTTCACCCAAACAGAAATGGGCTGCTTCCTTCTCTTCCCTAACCCCCTCCTGCTCCGCTCCCGTGCCCAGCCCCGAACCCTCGGGCACGTGCTGCGAACACCACCTTCTCCAGTTCAGACTTTCCTTTCTCTCTCCACTTCTTCCTCCCTTATCCACCGCTCTCCTTGTCTGATTTTACGCTCCCAGGGCACTTGGTTAGCTTCACCCAAACAGAAATGGGCTGCTTCCTTCTCTTCCCTAAATACAGACTTACAGTTACTTTTCCTTTTCACGCACAATGAATGATCCCATTCTGCTGTGCACTGAGTTCACTGAATAAATCCCTCTCGTAACCGGCGTGTTTCCAGAGGGCAATGCCCTCCTGTGCTCTCTTTAGTTGCCATTCTTCTTTTGGAAACAACCTCACCATTTTAAATACCCCAACTGCTACCAACTATGTTTCTGCACCCAGTACCATTGTTTTTTATTTTGTATTTTAGGCATTTAGGGGCGAGACGATCTTCTCGCTCTGTTCTGTCCGCACTGGTCATACTCTGACTGAAAGAAGTCATCTGCTTTTCCTACATGCCGAGGAACTCTGAACATGACAACCGACATCACTGCCGCCACACCAACCCACAGATTTCTCAGTAATCTTTCTGAGGAATCGCATTAAAACAGGCAGCTGTCATCACACACTGCGCCGCAGATTTTCAGTGCTGAAGGGCGTATTCCTTTCAGCCCCTGAAGCAACTCTTGCAAACTGTCCTCTGCAGAGAGGCAGAATATCGGGAGATGGGCATTTAGTTGAGTTTCTCACCTTATTTCCCAAAAGCCAAATCATTCAGCTTTGACCATCAAGATCACTGCAGAAAAGTTGATGAGGGAAAGCCGGCTCTTTTCTTTGCTTCAACAGAAGAGTGAACTGTGCTGCAACGATTTTTCTTAATACAAAAGGCTTGCTCAGCAAGCTGAAATAGGTACTTCCACACCGATTTAAGAGTTATACTAAGATTAACATAAGGGTAACAGTTCCACTTTGCATACAGTTCCCCTAGTGAAGAGACTGTAACAAGATTTCTTCTGGGTTTAACTGCTGCCTCTTTCTGCTAAAAGGCAAAGGCATGCAATGTTTTTAAAAATTAACAAAATCTTGCTTACACCCATCTAGTTATCAATTTTGTACCCAACAAACATTTTTACACTTAACTAGAAAAAACAGCAAGTTAATTGCTGTTATGCTACTAAAAGCAACAGATCTTCCTCTGCAGAAAACAAATCACGTACACAGCAATTTTACTGTCAAATTTCAGTAGAGACTCCAAGGTATGGGCATCTGGTTGCATTTATGCGTTGCCTAAAGCGGCCTTTTCTTTCAAAACATATGAAAGAATTCGCATGATTCCTGACCTCACTGCTACTTGCAGAGTTTGCAGAAGCCACTGCCGAACAACTCCCAGATTTGCCCTTTGAAGCGATATGCAAAAGGCGTGACAAATTACCCTCAAACGTCCTGAAAGCAGTCATTACAATATCTTACACTACTGCATCTGGATAAAGGGGTAATTCTGCATTTCAGCAAGTGGGGCTTTACACAAGCAACTGCGACACGGTGGAACGACAGCTCCGTCTCACTCAGCTGCCCTCTGTCACTTGTGCCATACCTCTAGGCAAGAACAGGTACATGTGAAACACGCTGCTTCTGCTCGTCACCACCCTGCCAAGGCGCACGTGCACAGTGTGTAACAACTGCAGCCGTGCTTTACACGCTAAAAAAGCACCACATATGCATCTATCTGAAAAATAAAACACACTCCTGAAAGACAGCAGAAATCACCTTGTACTGAGACAGCGAGCACGCTGTAGAGCATCAGGCATCGGGCGGTATTTTTGTCCAGACAACGGGCAAAATAAAACTTTTGTAAGAAACGCCGCAAGATCCTTCACACTCCCTCGCAGAAGGAGCGAGACTACCAGTATGGCAGCATCTGGTCGTTCTCCTCCATCCGCTACAGAAAGCTAAAAGTTCCCTTTTACAGATGTAAAAATAGCCATCTCCAGAACTCTCTCAGACTGGGGTTTCATACTCTTCGGCATAGCCCACCAACCCTCGGAATCGCAGGATCTGCTGTAGTTTTTGAAATGCGTACCTTATGACGCCATGCAGACGCATCAGAATTACTCCCGGTGAACAATGAGCTCAGCTTCTCAGAGATGAAGGAGACTTGCCTCAATTAAGAAAGATGCATCTATCTTTGCCACTGGGAGATGGAGTACTCTGCCATGAGTCATGCATCATGAGTCATGCGAAAACAGCGTTCATCCTATCTCAGCATATTTCATTTTTTCAGTCAAGTGCTGATTTTAAGTTTGAAGGAGCACTACTTCCTACGATCTTCATCTTCTATTTAGCCAAAGGATCACAAATACTTGCTTGCAAGAAAAACTTGTAAATAACACACAGATCCCACCACAGTTGTAATTTTCTTAAAAGGGCATGTATTTTAACCAACACTACCAGTTTCCTTCCAAATATCCTGAAATTCAACAGTTAATATGACGGATACATGGGGAGTTTCAATACCCCAAAACACTGCACACACAGCTTTCAGCATAAGAAGCCACGCCAATCTGCTGCAATACGGAAGGAATGGTAACTGGCCACAAGCCATTCAAAACCTCTAACGCTGGAGACGGTACGATGAGCGACTGGAACAACGGCAGGAACATATCTGGCAAAAAAGATTTCAAAGCCTCCTGTAAGATGCTATTGTAGATTTCATAGAATCATAGAAAGTTTTGGGTCGGAAGGGACCCCTAGAGGTCATCTAGTCCAACCCCCCCGCAGCGAGCAGGGACACCACTAACTAGATCAGGTTGCTCAGAGCCCTGTCCAACCTGGTCTTGAATGTTTCCAGGGATGGGGCCTCCACTGCCTCTCTGGGCAACCCGTTCCAGTGTTTCACCACCCTCATTGTAAAGAATTTCTTCCTTATATCCAGCCTAAACCTACCCTGTTTTAGTTTAAAACCATTACCCCTCATCCTGCTACTGCTGTCTCTACTAAAAAGATTGTCCCCATCTTTCCTATAGGCTCCCTTTAAGTACTGAAAGCTGGAAATCGTTTCTCCCCGCAGCCTTCTCTTCTCCAGGCTGAACAAGCCCAACTCTCTCAGCCTGTCCTCATAGGAGAGGTGCTCCAGCGCTCGGATCATTTTTGTAGCCCTCCTTTGGACCCGCTCCAACAGTTGCATGTCCTTCTTGTGCTGAGAGCTCCAAAGATTTGTTCATGCCAAACTCATAACGCCGCTGCCACGGGGGTAACAGCATCCTAACAAACGAGAAAAGCTACTGACAAAATCCTTTTGACTTCAGGGTAAACCAACGCCAGAAGTAGCCCCTGCAATACTCCTCTCTTCAACCCCCTTATCTCTGAGCTTTCCTCAAGCCTGCATATAGGATAACTGGTACCGGCTAAAAGTCCTCTCCAGAGAATGATGATGTAACATCTGTACAATACTAATTTTCTTCTTAATAAGTTGGATAGTTTGAAGTCATCAAATCATTACCATCAAACTGTGACTCTTTCAGGCAAGGAGCACTTTCGAGCACCTACATCTGTTGGTGTGTGGCACTTAAGGAAGGCAGCACACGAGCAGCTCCTCCAGCAGCCAAGACAGACACACACCATCCTCCTCCTCCGGCCACTCAGTGCTGA